CAATTAAAAGATAATAAAAAAATAATGTGGATCCCACTAATCTTATATGTTGCTGATTGAATACGATAATTATTGGTAATTGTGAAAATAATGGAGTTCATTTTTTATATTTTTAATTTTTTAATTAGATAGTGACACAATGTGGTACTGATGACGATGTGTCACCATTGTATTGAATATTTACTCGTATTTTGGACTCACGGGTGATGGGTCATTTTTTCTTCCATTTTTATTTTATTTTTCCGCATTTCCAATTCTTAACAAGGTCGGATCAAGTTTTTTTTTAAAAAAAAATTAAGGTGAATTAGATTTTGTATGATAAAAGATATTCAAATTTTTAATTAACACCCTGAAAGATTAATATTTTCAAATTGCACTAAGAATCATACACATTTTTGCATGGGTAAATTATAAATTATACCCTTAAAGTATGCATGTAATTCTTATTTAGTGTTTCAAGTTTTAATTACAATAATTAAACCTTAGAGTTTTAACTACGTTTTAATTTAGTACTTATATATATCAAAATTTATCAATTTATTTTAACCGAACAGCACATGACTTAGAAAAAATGGTTTATTTGTCTGGTAATTTTTTTTTATGTGTAGGTTAGAAATTTTACTTTATTTCTTCTAATTTCAAGAAAAAGAAGTTAACAAACCCGAAAAACAGATACAAGAGTGAGAATCTAAGAGATATTGTGAAACAGAGAGATAAATACTAATGCATTTGAGGGAGACATTTTTTGTTGGACAAATACACCTTTATGAAATAAAATAATAGATATAAACGGAAAGACTAAATTGAAACTCAATTAAAATTTCAAGGATTGAATAGAAATTATGTGTATACTTAAGGGTATAAATTATAAATTACCCTTTTTGTATTTTTCTATTTATATGCTCAATTATTAGTGTGGAAAGATTAAATTGAAACTCAATCAAAACTTTGAGAATGTAATTTTTAAATTGAAACTTCAAGAAATTATGTGTATACTTAAGGGTATAAATTATAAATTACCCTTTTTGTATTTTTCTATTTATATGCTCAATTACTCGTGAATTACCCAATTTAAAGCATTTTATTTGAGATTTTCATAATCAATTTTATTAAAATTGACCAATTGCTACTTGTTATGTGATTAAGGGTGTAATTTGAGAATTTTAATCTTTCAAGTTGTGAATTGAAAATCTAAAAATCATTCAGGGTGCAACGTTTCATTTGCTCTTTGAACGATTGAATCAACTGGATACCAATCGCTCGAGAGTAGGTATCACATTGGATCGAAATTTGATTAGCCGGACNATTTGCTCTTTGAACGATTGAATCAACTGGATACCAATCGCTCGAGAGTAGGTATCACATTGGATCGAAATTTGATTAGCCGGACATGGATAGATATTTTTTACCGATAATCCGAAACCAAATATAAATCCACTATATTATATTTAACGGATTTGAATTTGGATTTCAATTTGTTAAAACCTCGTTAAATTAAGTTATTTGGATCGAATTATGGTTTTTTAACCGATTCGAATATGGATTACAAAAATAAAATTTGTCATAAATTCGAATTGGATTTGGGTTGACCCTTTTTAAAATCGGATTCGTTCTATAATATAAAACATGACAAATTTTAATAAGTCTATTCAAAGATTTTAAATACACTCATCTAACGGTCACAAACACCCCCCTTAAATTTTCACGGTACTTTCAGGGACGAATTATCCTTAATTTTAGTATAAACTCGATCCGGTGACAGACCTAACCAAGAGAGAATCTGTCCACTACCTAAGAAATAATTTTTTTAANTATTTCATTCAATTACTGATATTTTGTTTGACTTGTCATTAATTGCTATAATGTTAGCTTTGGTGAAATACTTGAGATTTTTCGACTCGTGCATAAGATATACTCAGTGGCATGATTATGATTGTGATTCGTGTTCGTGGCCCTGAGGGGTGGACATGATTTAATTAAAATGCACCAAATGATGCCTAACTTGTTGTCGGGATTGACCGAGTGTTCAATCATGGTTAATTTGATTTGTTCAAACGTTCGAGATCATTGACTTGTTCAATTTATTTGTATTCCGTAAATTATCGTAATAACTCTTGTGTCATCGATGGATTATCGACTGGTTGATAAATTATCGTTTCGCCTTTGAGTTTGTATATTATGTTTTAAATTACTTACTGAGCTTTCCCCCGCTCACCCCCATTTACCGTCTCAGTTGTAGGTTGAATTTGGAGTAAAAATTTATGGAGAATCAGGTTGATCAATGAATGAAAGATTTTGATTGACTGTAATTTAAATAGTTATCGAGAGGTTATTTATTCATTTTCGAGGTGTTTTAGTAATTATGATATTTAATAAAAATTTAATTTATTCGTTATTGAGATAATAACCACTCTAAATATTGCTAAATGGATTAGGGTGTTACAGTTATTTTTCACCCAAGCATTAGTTTTTTTTTCTTCTTAATATGGAAAACCATGAGTACAACCATTTGAGTTTTATGTAATTTGGGAGAAAATATTCATTGTAACGGTGACGACATATCATCATCGTCACATGGTGGCATAATCCAATTAAAAGATAATAAAAAAATAATGTGGATCCCACTAATCTTATATGTTGCTGATTGAATACGATAATTATTGGTAATTGTGAAAATAATGGAGTTCATTTTTTATATTTTTAATTTTTTAATTAGATAGTGACACAATGTGGTACTGATGACGATGTGTCACCATTGTATTGAATATTTACTCGTATTTTGGACTCACGGGTGATGGGTCATTTTTTCTTCCATTTTTATTTTATTTTTCCGCATTTCCAATTCTTAACAAGGTCGGATCAAGTTTTTTTTTAAAAAAAAATTAAGGTGAATTAGATTTTGTATGATAAAAGATATTCAAATTTTTAATTAACACCATGAAAGATTAATATTTTCAAATTGCACTATGAATCATACACATTTTTGCATGGGTAAATTATAAATTATACCCTTAAAGTATGCATGTAATTCTTATTTAGTGTTTCAAGTTTTAATTACAATAATTAAACCTTAGAGTTTTAACTACGTTTTAATTTAGTACTTATATATATCAAAATTTATCAATTTATTTTAACCGAACAACACATGACTTAGAAAAAATGGTTTATTTGTCTGGTAAATTTTTTTTTTTGTGTAGATTAGAAATTTTACTTTATTTCTTCTGATTTCAAGAAAAAGAAGTTAACAAACCCGAAAAACAGATACAAGAGTGAGAATCTAAGAGATATTGCGAAACAGAGAGGTAAATACTAATGCATTTGAGAGACATTTTTTGTTGGACAAATACACCTTTATGAAATGAAATAATAGATATAAATGGAAAGACTAAATTGAAACTCAATTAAAACTTCAAGGATCGAATAGAAATTATGTGTATACTTAAGGGTAAAAATTATAAATTACCCTTTTTGTATTTTTCTATTTATATGCTCAATTATTAGTGTGGAAAGATTAAATTGAAACTCAATCAAAACTTTGAGAATGTAATTTTTAAATTGAAACTTCAAGAAATTATGTGTATACTTAAGGGTATAAATTATAAATTACCCTTTTTGTATTTTTCTATTTATATGCTCAATTATTCGTGAATTACCCAATTTAAAGCATTTTATTTGAGATTTTCATAATCAATTTTATTAAAATTGAACAATTGCTACTTGTTATGTGATTAAGGGTGTAATTTGAGAATTTTAATCTTTCAAGTTGTGAATTGAAAATCTAAAAATCATTCAGGGTGCAACGTTTCAATTGCTCTTTGAACGATTGAATCAACTGGATACCAATCGCTGGAGAGTAGGTATCACATTGGATCGAAATTTGATTAGCCGGATATGAATAGATATTTTTTACCAATAATCCGAAATCAAATATAAATTCACTATATTATATTTAACGGATTTGGATTTGGATTTCAATTTGTTAAAACCTCGTTAAATTAAGTTATTTGGATCGAATTATGGTTTTTTAACTAATTCAAATATGAACTACAAAAATAAAATTTGTCATATATTCGAATTGGATTTGGGTTGACCCTTTTTAAAATCGGATTCGTTCTATAATATAAAACATGACAAATTTTAATAAGTGTATTCGACGATTTTAAATACACTCATCTAACGGTCACAAACACCCCTCTTAAATTTTCACGGTACTTTCAGGGACGAATTATCCTTAATTTTAGTATAAACTCGATCCGTTGACAGACCTAACCAAGAGAGAATCTGTCCACTACCTAAGAAATAATTTTTTTAACTAATGAACATTTTTTTGGATAAGTCGCTAATGAAGATTTTTTTAAATTTCACTTGAAATTTATTTAATTTCTGGATTTAATTGATGAACTGCTAGCTAATCATCGACTCATTGGCTTTTATACATTCTCAGATGATGCGAGGCAGAAACAGTGAGAATGCTCAACCTTAGATTTAGCAACAACAAAGGTTTTTTATACTTGCATTGGATTGGACCAAGGCAAACAATCCCAACCCGACATATACTTGGACATAATTTAGACTTAGTTTCAAGTTCTCGGTGACCAAACCTAAATTCCTATACATTTAAATATAGAAAATAAGCACTTTTATTGGTAAAGATGCTGCCAGTTTGTCATTTCAAAGCTAAAATTATGCCACATTTTTTTTCCATCAATAGAAGCATTGGATTTTATTCATACTTATATATCAAAAAAAAAGAGCGACATAACGAACTCAAGTGTCTGCTCTTGCCAAACAATTGAATCATCAATAAAACTAGCATGTTGTGCTAAACTTTGAGCTACTCAATTGCCTAATTTTGCCCCAAAGCACCTCATAAACCCAGAACTTCAATAGTTCATTTGTGATTTCAGCTAACATAGGTCCCAAAGTTGAAGGCCCTTTCCCAGACCCTCTTATTAGCTTCAGTAAAGATCTGCATCTTCATCTAGCCCCCTAGCTTTCACCTTCTTTGGAAGACCATCCCTAAATACAACATTTTCGTTTCTAATAACAACTCCAACGCCGATGAAATGGACGAGTTCCGGAGCAAACCCACTGAAATTGACCTTGAATGTGCCTGTTGTGGGTGGGTTCCAATTCATTGCATAGGATGGAGGGTCTTTTAATACCATGGCTTCTTGTGCCTGTTGAAACTGTATAGTGCAATCCATAGTTGCTTGGGAGATTTCCGCCAGGTTTTCTATGTATTCTAAATTTGTATTCTAAATCAATGAGGATCATTGGATTAGTGGGTCCCATCAACTTTTTTAAATGGAACCCACTGATCTAATGGTCCTCCTTGATTTGAGATATTAATTTGTGTTACAAATTTGGGATATATATCATTACTCTTTTAGAAAAGCTTAGGTGAACTATGTCGTTTTGATCCCCCAGATCAACCAGCGTTGTCTGAAAATAAAGTAAACTCATTTTCCTCAAGTAGCTAATGTATACCTCGTGCCTATTGTGCAGGATCTAAACATGGAATATGAACGATTCTGTGTATGGAGCTTAGCTTCCATGAAAGCTTTCCCCAATAAGACTCCTACAAAATGTGAAGCCCAGATTCAACAACTCTTTGACAAACGCTGAATAGATCATCCACTCTGATTTTGCTACACTTCAGGTCGTCATTAGTTGGTAAAACATTTACACATAGCCTCCAAATGAAAAACTTAGGGGTCGTTTGATAACGTTTTTGTTTTCGCGTTTTGAAACAAAATTAAAAACAGAGATAATTTTTATTTCTATTTTGTGATAAACACTAAAACAGAAAACATGTTTGAGAGTCATTTTTGTTTATCAAATTATGAGAATAAAAATAAAAAATATATTTGGTAACTACTTCAAATTTTATCCTAAATATGTTTGGTATCTATTTGGCAATTAAATCCCAAATGACAATTCAATCAATTTCAAATGACAATTTAATTCCAAATGACAATTCAATCAATCCTAAATGACAATTCAATAATTGTAAATAACAATTCAATTAATACCAAATAACAATTAATCCCAAATGCAACACACACAAAACATAATACACGCATAATGAACACAACAAACACATACACACATAGACTCAACACAACACACACACACGCACAGAGCTGTGCATATATATGCACAGCTTCTGGGTTTCATAGAGAAGAGGGAGAGAGGAGAGAGAGAGGCAACGATGGAGGTGGGTTTCACAGCTTTTGGGTTTCACAACGTCTGGGTTTCACGAAGGCAGAGGTAGCAATGGAGGTGGGTAACGGGTCAGCGATTCGTCTGGTGGTCTAATACAGAGAAAGGAGAGGAAAGGGGGAGAGGAGAGAGAGAGAGAAGCGATGGGGAGGAGAGATGAATGAAATGAGTTTTTATACTTCAACAAAAAAAAGCTTTGTTTTGCTGTTAAGAGGAGTTGAAGTCCAGATCTCATTAATTTCCCAACCTTTTTGTGCATGTTGTCTTTGTTTTTGGTGTTTCTTGCAACTTCTTTTTTTTGTTCCCATTTTTTTTATTTTGTTTCCAAGACAACTAATATAAAACAAAAACAAAAACAGTACCCAAACATGTTTTTATTTTCATTTTTGACAAAAATTGAAAACAAAAAATACAAAACACAAAATGAAGACAGTTACCAAACAATCCCTAATTTTACTTGCGATTCTTTGATTCCAGAAAAACTCCAATTATGACCCCCCCCCCCAAAAAAAAAAAATGACCTGAATTATCTACAACATGTGTTGCAAGGTTTTGGTTGACTGCGACATAATAAGCACTACGCATTGAAAACCGACCATTGGCAGAAAAATGCCAAATCAATTTATCTTCTAGACAGGTATCTGGTAAAATAATATTCTAGATGACTACTGCTTCATGGGGGAAGAAGATGTCGTCCACCAATTATTCATTTCATCATCTAAGTTGGGAGTCAAATAAATCGCTCCTAGTAGCTTCACCACCCAAAAATATTTAGTGGCATGATAGGCTTGAACGTGTTCGGTATAGGTATCTACCTATCATACCATATTTTGACCTTGGTACCATTTCCAATCCATTTGAATCCCTCTTCAATAACCTTTCTATCTTCCAATATACTTTGCCAAGTATACGAGGGTTTACTTCCAAGACTAGCTTCCAAGAAAGTTGACAAAGAGAAGTGTCTAGCTCTTAGTGCCTTGTGAAGAAAACTCCATGCTTGCTTTGCCAAAAAAGCCAGATTAAAAGCCCTAAGATCTTGAAAGTTCATGCCTCCCCTTGATTTACTTTTACATAGATTTCTATAGCTAACCCAATGTAGTTTCCTTTCCCCATTCTTCTACCCCCATCAAAGTTTGTTGTAAAAGATTATTCAACAGAGGAATTGTAAAGACAATCAACTTGCTGTTCTTTGATATTGTATTCATATTTAAGAAGCAAAGTTACAACAGAACTCCTTAATTACAGGAGTTCAAAATGGAACCAACTACATTCAAAGTGTAGGATAAGTTCTATTTGAATAAACTAATTATAAGAGTGAATGCAATTCAAAGTGATGTGGGATAACTACTGCTATGTCATGGTTTATCACACCCCCGCAAGTGAATGGGTCTAGGAACAACCATAAACTTGGATTTAAGATATTGGAAACGAGTTGAAGATAGTCTCTTGGTGAATATATCAGCCACTTGATCAACCGTGTGAAAGTGATGAACATCAATTTCTTTGTTAATAACCTTATCACGAACATAATGAAAATCAACCTCAATATGTTTTGTACGTGTGTGAAAGACAGGATTGGATGCCAAAGAAATTGAACTGAAGTTATTACACCAAATAAGAGGAGTCGTGGGAATAAAAATATTAATATCTTTAAATAAGTAACGCAATCATGAGATTTCAGCCATTGTATGAGCCAATTGGTGGTATTCAGATTTCGTACTCGAGCGAGAAACCGTGGTTTGCTTCTTACCACACCAAAAAATGGGACTTAAACCAAGAAAATTGCAAAAAACCACCTGTGGAGAGTTTGTTAATGGGGCAGCCAACATAGTTGGCATTTGGGAAGACTTCAAGACATAAAAGGCCTGGTTGGGAGAGAATGTCGTGATTGATTGTCCCCTTAAAATAACAGAGAATACGTTTAATAGCTATCTAATATGCCGTCATTGGTTTGTGCATAAATTGACAAACCTAATTGACTGAAAAAACAATATCGGGTCATGTTAGTGTAAGATATTGCAAAGCACCCATGACGCTGCGATATTTAGACAGATCTATGAGTGGAAGTCCATCATTTTGTCCCAGTTTACCGCTGGCAGCACATGGAGAAGTAAAGGGTTTAGCATCAACCATTTTTGTATGGTGGAGCAATTCTAAGGCATATCGATTTTGGGCCACAAAAAGAGTTCCATTTGAATAGGTAGCCTCCAACCCTAGGAAATAATGTAAGGCCCCCAAAACTTTCATGGCAAAAAGTTTGCTTAAATCAGTGATAAGCCCTTGAAGATGATGTGCACTATTGCCCGCAAGAAAAATATCATCAACGTAAATAAGAAGGAACATAATGATGTCGTCACAATGATACGTAAACAGGGAGTAATTCACCATGGACTCTATGAAACCCAAATCTTCAATATAATTCAAGAACCGCTGAAACCATGCTCGTGGTGAGTGTTTTAAACCATATAGAGACTTGTGTAAACGAAAAATGTGATTTGGAAATTTGGTATCCTCAAACCTTTGGGGTGCTGTATGAATACTCCTCACTTAGCACACCATGAAAAAATGCATTTTGAACATCTGGTTTGCGGATGGGTCATTTATGAGAAATAGCAATGGCGAGGACTATCCGAATGGTGGTATGCATTTAGATAGCATGTTTTGCACTATCATAGCATGTTTTAGTAAGACTAAAGCAAGGGGTTGAGTGAATTTGATTATGACCAATAATGAATGGGATTAATTGTCAATTCAAGGAAAATTGATGAACATGTTGAGTCTGTAATTTGACATACTAGTTGGTTTTACATTGTTTGTGATCTTTTCATGCATGAGCACATATCCATATGTTGGTTAGTTATTATTTAGAGAATTTATTTGGTTAAATACTTGTGGGATATATCATTGAAACTCTAGAAAACTTATTTAAACATCATTCAAAGAGAATTGAGGTATTCATATAAGTTGGGGGGTGTTTAGTGGTTATGATGGGTTAGTATAAAAAATAAAAAATAAATAAAAAAAGGAGTTTTTTGAAAGTATTTTGATTTGATCCTTCATGAGTTAGAAGAAAAAAAATAGGAAGATAAGAAACAAGAAAGGGGCATGCGGTGAGTTGAAATGGAGCATAAAACACACTCACTCATAAACATATGTTGAGAATGAGATTGAGCGTAAAACACACTCGTTCAAGAGAAGGCGAGATGAAGCGTAAAACGCACTCGCTCAATAGGAGGTGAGATAGAGCATAAAATGCACTCACCGACTGAATAAAAAGAGAAAAAAAAAGAGAAAAAAAAGAGAGAGATAAAATAAAAAATATTTGGACCTTTTAATTATATGTTTTGCCTTAATTGACAGAGATTGATGTGAAACGTAAGTTCATAGAGTTGATATTGAGTATTTCCTATGGAGCGCTTGATTACGTAAATGTATTTGTGTGATGATTAACTTGACAGTTTGGATATGTACATATATTTAAAGGGTCATGAGTGGAAGTAAAAGTAAGGAGTATGTTCAATTGATAGACTTTATACTGTTTTGAAGTTTCCTGTGTACTATTATTTGTAATAACTTTTGGGGCCTTTATTCAGATTCATATTGATCCATTGTTTGAGTAGTTGGTTGTTAAGGTATGATTTTTATTCTTAGTATTTTGCTTGAGTACAAACAAAGATTTAAGTTTGGGGGTATTTGATGAGTGAGTTTTATACCTACGAATTGAGTACTCTCGACTTGATGAAATTGCAAGTTTCAAGTATTTTATGTTCCTTTTTATTTTTTTTGTGTGTTTTAATGTTATTTTATAGGAATCATCATTTGGAAGGAAAAAAAGTGATTTGGAAGGAAACAAGGTCAATTGGGAGCCTAAGTGTTGAATTTTTGAAGACTAAGTAACAAAGGCAGCTCTTGGCTTAAAAGGGAGTAGTGCAGCTGTGCTAGGATCAGCGCCTAGGTGCTTGAAGGGCAGAAAGTGTAAGAC